GAAATGGAGTTACCCCATGGACAAAACTAATTAGATAGTATAATCTGTCTTGCTACAGATATGTAATACGGGTACACTCATCCACGGGCTTAAATGTCAGCCTCTCATTGACAAACCCCATACATCACCATATCCAGACAAAAATAGAGAGGCGCAAATACCATGTGCATTCAAAAAGTGCTCCCAAAGAAAGACCCAAAGAAATAAAGAAACTCTACATGTTTTGCTCCAGAAAACAGAGCTTCGCCAGGAGTATAAAGAATTAAAATAGGTCACATAGTGGCTGGACTTTGTTCTTAGTTGCACATGGTGTCAAAATGGCACCTATCGTTTGTTTCACCTCTTTATATAGAGATGGCCATCAAAATGGCCCCCGCACATGCTCAGTTCCTCCACAGACGCCATCTTGTGGACAAAACCTGCACATGCTCAGTACCTTAACAAAAGCTATCTTGTGGACAGAAAACAACACCACAGCAGCAGATCAGTCCACAACACAATAGACACTGCTGGTGCTCTCAAACGCTGTTAATGCCCCACTAGTTAAGGACCAAAATTACAGTTTATACCATTATATAGCATTTTTGGAGCAAAGTCAAACAAAACAAAAAAGCACAGAATCCCTAATCACACATAAAAGGAAGGAAGGTAAATCCTTCATTTAAACCATAAGGTGCCCTTGAGCCTAAACGGAAAATGCATTTTGCTTCAAGTTTCAAAAGACATTTATCTAGGTCCAAGATTATATTTGTCAACAATGCAAAAGTTTAAGAGGTCAGCCTCGCCATCATGTTTTTGTATCATATGTCTTGCTAATGGTCTATCCTTGTTTCGAGCAATGTCGTTCACGTGTTTCAAGTACTCGTCTCCTAAAGGGGCAAATTGTTTTTGCTACATATATTAGGAGGCATGGGCATTTTAAAGCATAAATCACCCCCTCTGTGTTGCATTTATAGAAATCTCTTATTTTAATAATCTCCCCATTTTTAGGGTTAACAAACTCCATGGTATTGCTCGAGAAAGTACATGGCTTACATTCACCACACCTAAAAAGAATCTGACTTTAGCAAATTGATGTGCTCCCTAGTATTGGTTTCCTAAGGTTTGCTCATTCAGTGCCCACCAAGGTCACCAGTAGCACAGGATTGAACTGGTAGGGTGGCTTTTTGTCCCTTATGTCTGTTCACTTATGGAAGGGGAGTGAAGCACTTCAGTTGACAGGTCTGGCCTGTCATAACACAGAATCTTGTTTCAGGAAATTATTCTTTGGATTTGTCACAGCCCAGGTTTATGTTGTCATATTGACCTCTGCAGTATCCTTTTCATCCTTCATCCGCTCTGCAGTTGTTTCACACCCTTTGCTTATAATCCTCTTTCTCTGTTTTAGTTTAATTAGGGATTTGTCATCCATTAACCTAATTTTCTGTAGCAGCTGTTCACTGTTGTTGAATAAATGCTGCAAGGAATCCTGTCGTCGGTAAAATATGGGGGCTGTCATTGCTGCCTTTCTCCTGAAAATGCTACCTGCTTGGCTGCCTGTGGCTATAGTTAATTTTTAAGTCAATGGGCAGGAAAAAAGCACGCAAAGAGGAAAGTCACAGTGAAGTCATACTTTTCCTGTATTGGTGACCCAGAGTGAATTGAGGCCAGAGGACCAGATAGCACTGTTATGAGGAGAGGTCAATGGTAGTCAATGTATTTCTATCATGATAAGTTTAATTTAAAGGCCCACTCCAGGCTTAAGTCCCAAGTGCTCCCCCTTCCTTTAGGACCCCTCCCCTATTCCCCTGTAAATTTTTATTTTTTCATAGTCCTTTTCCAAGTCTTCACTTGTTCTTTTTCTATCAATTTGCTCCCGATGGTGGTGTCCACGCTGATCTCTGAATTATAATACTGTAAATGAAGGGCAATCTGGTGACACCTGAGTGACAGTCAGCAGGTTAGCCCACAAAACCCTCCACAGTATCCCTTCCTCTTCCTGTCTTTGCGGTTGAGTGGCACTGGGGGTATTCAATCCAGAAAACTGAGGACATCCTCTGGGGAAAAAACAAAGTGCTATGGAGGACATCTCCAGGATGAAAATTGAGTATTGCAACCTGTGCTGGTTTGTATTTTGAACACCCAGAGGGACCTATTAAATGTTTAAAACAATTGGCCTTTAAGGTTTCCACCCACTTTATGCTTGGTGTACATGACTCAATATCTTTTAAACCATTCACAGGCATGGGAACTCTCGTTAGATTAAGACAACAATATTATGTCTTTGAGGTAAAGTAGATAACCATCAATCATTTGCTTCTGGATGGGAGTGTAGCGCTACCCTCGACCAGGGTTGCTAATTTAATGTCCTGGGTTCTATTCCTGCTAGTGCTACAGCCAGACAAACAGGAATTTCCTACTCTGACGCCAGAAACACAGTCCAAAAAGTTGCCTTTTTAAAATATATTACAGCATTTACTTGGATGGGGTGTAGGGTGCTATAAGATACTCCGAAACTCTAGAACTGAAGAGGTTGGAGACTGCTAACCTTCAGGTTGCTGGGTGTATTGCATAGAATTACACTGCACCTTACTGTAGAATTTGTACACCTCTTGGTTGTATTGCGCAGCTCCTGACTGCTCCAGACACACGTGATGAAGAAAAAGGCACACTCCTGGCTGCCTTGCACAGCTCCTGCCTTTTCTAGGTGCGCTAAATATGCTTGACACTCCTGGCTGTCTTGCACAGGTCTTAGTAGCATGACAATATGTTGCTAGGTGGAACACCCCACCCCACTTCTTCACTGGATAGCAGATCAAGCACTCACTCAATTCCCAAAGTAATGGAGCTTCCTCGCTCCTATTCTCCTGGCTCTTTCCAGACTCTGACCCAGAATCTCACTCTCTCTCTTTGGAAGGTCTCCCAGCTAGGTCTAGCTGGGACCTTGACATCTTACATATTTACAGTGGGGCAAAAAAGTATTTAGTCAGCCACCAATTGTGCAAGTTCTCCTACTTAAAAAGATGAGGGAGGCCTGTAATTGACATCATAGGTAGACCTCAACTATGAGAGACAAAATGAGAAAAAAAATCCAGACAATCACATTGGCTGATTTGGAAAGAATTTATTTGCAAATTATGGTGGAAAATAAGTATTTGATCACCTACAAACAAGCAAGATTTCTGGCTCTCACAGACCTGTACCTTCTTCTTTAAGAGGCTCCTCTGTCCTGCACTCATTACCTGTATCAGTGGCACCTGTTTGAACTTGTTATCAGTATAAAAGACACCTGTCCACAACCTCAAACAGTCACACTCCAAACTCCACTATGGTGAAGACCAAAGAGCTGTTGAAGGGTCTTCCAACATGACAATGATCCCAAACATACCGCCCGGGCAACGAAGGAGTGGCTTCGTAAGAGGCATTTCAAGGTCCTGGAGTGGCCTAGCCAGTCTCCCGATCTCAACCCCATAGAAAACCTTTGGAGGGAGTTGAAAGTCCGTGTTGCCCAGCGACAGCCCCAAAACATCACTGCTCTAGAGGAGATCTGCATGGAGGAATGGGCCAACATACCAGCAACAGTGTGTGCCAACCTTGTGAAGACTTACAGGAAACGTTTGACCTCTGTCATTGCCAACAAAGGATATATAACAAGGTACTGAGATGAACTTTTGATATTGACCAAATACTTATTTTCCACCATAATTTGCAAATAAATTATTTCCAAATCAGCCAATGTGATTGTCTGGATTTTTTCTCTCATTTTGTCTCTCATAGTTGAGGTCTACCTATGATGCCAATTACAGGCCTCTCTCATCTTTTAAGTGGGAGAACTTGCACAATTGGTGGCTGACTAAATACTTTTTTGCCTCACTGTACATAGTTAGTCTGGCTGAAAAAAAAAAAAAAGTCCATCCAGTTCAACCATTAAAAAAAAAGTTATAATCTTATACCCACAGTTGGTCCAGAGGAAGGCAAAGAAACCCAACAAAACATGATCCAATTTGCTCCTGAGGGAAAAAAATTCCTTCCTGATCCCCCGAGAGGCAATCGGATATTCCCTGGATCAACTTTACCTATAAATGTTAGTATCCAGTTATATTCTGTGTATCTAGGAAAAAATCCAGGCCTTTTTTAAAGCAATCCACAAAGCTGGCCAGAACCAACTCTTGAGGGAGTCTAATCCACATTTTCACAGCTCTTACTGTGAAGAAACCTTTACGTGTTTGGAGATCCTTCTTTGCACTTTCTCCAGTTCCTCAATGTTCTTTTTGTGAATTGGTGCTCAAAATTTAACTGCATATTCCAGATGAGGTTTTACTAATGATTTGTATCGGGGTAAAATGATATATCTCTCTCTAGAGTCTATACCTCTTTTAATACAAGAGAGGATTTTGCTCACTTTAGAAACCGCAGCTTGGCATTGCATGCCATTATTAAGCTTGTGATCTACCAGAACCCCCAGATCCTTCTCCACCATTGATTCCCCCAATTGTACCCCCTCTAGTATGTATGATGGATACATATTCTTAGCCCCAAAGTGCATAAGGACTTCATAAGGACTCCTTGGCCCATCTGCCTGAGGGCAGAGACACAGTACAAGGGTGCCCTCCAGCAGACTTGATGCTGGAACTCTCCCCAGGCTTCCAGTATTTATGGCTTTTCCCTCCATCTACTGAGCACTTCTCTCCAGTGGTTACCTGCAGGCCCATAAATATTCAAGCTGCCTGTTCTGCTCTTCCTCTCGGTATACTTCTAGAACTCTCCAGAAAACAGGGGTAAGCAGCAGACCAGCAATCTCTAAGAAACAGATCAGCTCTTAACAATAACCCCTGCTCCCTGCTTACAGAAGCTAAACTAAGTTTTCCTAGCAACCTACCTAAACTAGGTGAATATTGGTTAAGCAGCTTGAAAATCCATGTAATTTCTACTGTTCTGCTATGATATCCACTTTCAGACCAGCTACATACCCATACTTTGGGTGGTTGTACCGGGATGATGCATGCAGCTGCAAGGACTACCCCAGTGCCAGGGGCGGACTGACCATTTGGAAACTCGGGCACTGCCCGAGGGCCCGGGGGTCAGTAGGGGGCCCCATGAGATGCCCCTGGTACCTTTTTCATAGGCTTTTTTGAGTTTGGGCAAGGACACAGGGGCCCCATGGTCCCCTATTGCCCGGGGGCCCCATGAGTTGTCAGTCCGCCCCTGCCCAGTACTGTTTTTTTTTACAGCTGACAGTTGGCTCTCTTGTAATAGCAATCGGAGTGGCTAACTAGCCTCTCGATTGCTATCACAAACAGTGCGAGGGGACGCTCCACCAGCTGGTTGGAGGGCACCATTTTAAAAAAAATCAAAAGCATTTGAAAACACTGATCTTGGTGTTTTGAACGCTTTGAAGGGCATAGAAGGGGTTTGGGGTCTTATAGACCCCAGATTCACCCCAATTCCTTCATCAAGAGTACCTGTCACATGCCTATTGCTATCACAAGGATGTTTACATTTCTTGTGACAGCAATAAAAGTGATTTTAAAAAAATTTAAAGCAACAGTGTAAAAATAACAAAAATAAAATAATAATTAAAAAAAAAAAAATTAAAGTGCCCCCCATGCTTGCGTGGAAAGGTGAACAAATGTATTAGTCCTGCATGCACACAAACAGCGATTGTCCAACATGTGAGGTATCACTGTGAACGTCAGATCATGGGCAGTCATTCTAGCACTAGACCTCCTCTGTAAATCTAAAGTGGTAAACTGTAAAGGTTGTGGATAGTAAAATTGACATTATTTGTTGTGTCGCATGGGCATGCACAATTTTAAAGCGTGGCATGTTTGGTATCTATTTACTTGGTGTAACATAATCTTTTATACAGTATTTGACAAAAAAAATGTTTTATATATTGTTGGTTTTTTTCATTAAAATTCAAAAAAGTTATTTTTTCCCAAATAATTGCATTTGAAAAACTGCTGCACAAATACTTCATGACATAAAAATTGTAAAGCCCACCAATTTATTCTCTAGGGCCTCTGCTTTAAAAAAGTATATAATGTTTGGGGGTTCTTGGTAATTTTCTAGCAAAAAATACTGATTGTTACATGTAAAAAAAAAAAGTGCCAAAAAAGGCTTGGTCTTGAAGTTGTTAAAAGTTGAGTTAGAAGCATCTGCGCCTACTCTCCTACTTCTCTTTCCTTATTCCATAGCAATTAACAGAAAGGCTGGAACAAGACAAGTGATTGTGCAAGATCAAAAGAACAGAAATGCCAAAGGGTGGTGAATCATAACTGCACATATGGCCAACTGGTTTAAAATGGACCTAAACATAAAAGTGACATTTTCTGTGGTATAGGGAATATTTAGATATATTTACTGTGCCTAAGCAGTACTCTAAAATACTTTACTTTTTTGGTTTTAAATTCCTCCTGAAAAATAGCTGTGTACCTCCTGTGCTCAACGCTTCCTATCTGTATATCTCCAGTCTGAGACCTATGGCATTGTTGTGTTGCTTTTAATCGCTAGTTTCATGAGATTTAGTGTAAAATCAGGCTTGGTTCACACCGCTGCGACTTGGAATTTGACTTGTGAGACCCCATGACATGTGAAATCCCATGTTAGTCAATGAGAGCTGTCTTAATTAGTACTACTGAAGTCGCTCCAACTTTAGAAGAGGTCCCTGTTCTAATTCGAGGCAACTTCTATCAAACGTGTGCCCATAGACTTTAATGGAAGTTGCCTCCAAATCAGATCCTTATCTATATTGATGTAATTTGGATCCAACATTACAGAAAGATTACCTGTAGACAGGGGCGGACTGACAACTCATGGGGCCCCCGGGCAATAGGGGATCATGGGGCCCCCGTGTCCTTGCCCAAACTCAAAAAAACATATGAAAAAGGTACCAAGGGCATCTCATTGGGCCCCCTACTTACCCCGGGCCCTCGGGCAGTGCCCGAGTTTCCAAATGGTCAGTCCGCCCCTGCCTGTAGATGATGTTCTCATTGGTCACAGGTAAAGTCGCATGGCGTGAAAGTCTCTTCAAAGACGCATCAAGTCTCATCAAAGTTGTACTCAATTCACCAGGAAGTTGCCTGGCAAATTCGCACCATAATTCGTGGGACATTCAGGTCTCAGTAGTATGAACTAAGACTCCCATCTCAGTGCTGCACTGCTCACTGTTCTCTTTGCTGGAGGTTCTGACTTGAGGAAGAAAAGCCTTGCCTCTACCAAGATGGCTGGCGTCACACAGTAACACAGTAACACAGTGTAGAAGAAGGCAAGGTCAGCCAGTAATGAAGAAAGATCAGCGGCAGAGAGACCACAGCCTATACTATACTGGCGATCATTTCTTCGCCCAACTGCCTGCTTTTTTACAAGCTCGACTTCAAGAGTTTCGGTTTCCTTTATCAGCACCTTAGGTGATTCTGATCGCTATTAGAAATGTAATGCAGGAAAGTGTATATGGGTGATATAACATTTTAGAAAGTTTTTCATGGACACTTTGCTGCTATGAAAATGTGAGATCCAGTGCTGTTTGCCTAGGGTTCAGCTTTAAATAAGTGTAGTGTTACCCCCATAGGAGCTGCTAAGATATTATCTAGGTCTTCCCTAACTTCGCCCTGCAGCTAGGCACAAGATGTTTTATAGCCAGGTATACACACACTTTCACCCGTTTTCTCCAAAAATCAGTTTAGGGGCTGTTGTTTCCTTATTGGAGAACGTGGATAGGGATGGGGAATTTATTGGGATACTCCAGGAGTAGAACTAATTACAGTTGAGGACAGAGGTTCCTTAGGTAGCAGCCTTGATCAAAGTCCCAATGTCAGAAAGGGGTTAAATGGACAGAGCTCATCTGGACACCAGCTGGCGTCCCCTTGTTTCAAAGTCATGCTGACTATAAAGCACCAGCGGGGTCGTCAAGCACACAGGTTCCCATGATCCCTCAGCATCTGTATTCACAAGGCCTAAAGACAGACTGGTAGCCTCCTTCCAATCTTCCAAGTGATACCATCCAGTGATACCAGACAGATCTTTGGCAGACAGCTTCTCCTTAATCAGCTTACTGAAGAACCAGGGTCACGTTCTCTCTCATTTCAGGCCCTCAGACTGCCCACCTAAGGCCACATGGCAGCAGGTGCCTAGGGAGACTTCCCCATTGGTTTGTGCAATCCTCTCCAGGAAAGACACAGGGCTCAATACAGCCAAAGAATAATTACCCTCTCCCAGCATCCTTCAGGGCTTCGCTCCATGGTATTGGCTGGAGTGGCATTAATATTCATACTGTGTTCTGCATGAGTTCCACCCATACATCCAGAACTTTCTTAGGTTACTTGGATAGAGAGGAAGTCAGGGGCAGAACTAGCAGCAGTTGAACACAATGAGCAAGCACTACTAACCATTGCAGCTCTCTGTTGAGCAGATAACATAATTAGATTTTGCTTACAGTTCTCCTGTTAAAGCGGAGTTCCACTCACTCTATAAAAAAATAAAAGTCAGCAGCTACAAAAACTGTAGCGGCTGACTTTTAAAAAAACAGCCACTTACCTGTCCGTCGATCCTGCGGCGCCCCCGCCTCAGCCCATTTCACTGGCCATCCTGTATTCCAGGCATCTTCAGTGTGGGCACTTGGCTGTGACAGCTTGCGGCTTCACAGCCGGGTGCCCACTGTGCATGCACGAATAGTGCTGCACTTCCTGAATGACCCCGTCATCTTCTGGGACCTGTCACGTGTCCCACAAGACTATGGGGAGGGAGGGTAGGAGGACAACTTCCATTTCCAATCCGCCTAGGCGATCGCAGCGGAAGTGGGAGCGGGTACCTGTCAATTTCGGGTACCTACTCCCCAAAGGTGCCGATCCTTAATGAGGAACGGAGGACCAGTCTTTAAAGCGGAACCTTTTCAAGTGGATCTCCGCTTTAAGCAGCAGAACCAACACTACCCTACTTCTCCTAGCACCTGTCTGGGAGGGTGCTACTTAAGCATATAAAGAAGCATGATGCTGACTCTTAAAATATGAAACAAAATTTTATAAGAAGTCTCCATAAATTGGGATTGGCCATTAAAGCCAGAGACATTTGGCAACTGAACTATGTTTCCTGCAAAAAAAAAAGAAACTATCGTATTTTTCGCTCCAAAAGACGCACTTTTTTTCCCAAAAAAAAAAGGGGGGAAAATGTCAGTGCGTCTTATGGGACAAATATGGAGCGGTCGGTCCGGTATTTCCGCCACCGCCACCAAGTCAGAATACTGGGCCGGCTGCTCAGCTCTTCTCTCCTGCAGGACCTTACCTGTTCCTCTGTCCAGCGCTGTAGTCTTCCCGCGCTGGCTTCTTCCAGCGCCGGCTTCTGTGACAGCCGGGTGCCCACTGCGCTGTGCTTTGTGAATGGTGACTTCTGGGACACATGACAGGCCCCAGAAGGCGCCGGGCCATTCACAAAGCGCAGCTCTTCTCGCGCATGCGCAGTTGGCACCTGGCTATCACAGAAACCGGCGCGGGAAGATGCCAGCGTGCCCACACTAAAGAAAGGACAACTTCAGGTACCCGCTCCCCCTCCCTCCCCAAAGGCTCGCAGTCTCTTGGTCATCCCCTGTACTGTCTGCAGTCTCTGGTCATCCCCTGTACTGTCTGCAGTTTCTGGTCATCCCCTGTACTGTCTGCAGTCTCTGGTCATCCCCTGTACTGTCTGCAGTCTCTGGTCATCTGTACTATGTCCGCAGTCCCTGGCATTTTCCCTGTACTATGTTCACAGTCTCTGGTCATCTGTACTGTGTCCTCAGTCTCTGGTCATCTGTACTGTGTCCGCAGTCTCTGGTCATCTCCTGTACTATGTTCACAGTCTCTAGTCATCTCCTGTACTATGTCCGCAGTCTCTGGTCATCTGTACTGTGTCCACAGTCTCTGGTCATCTGAACTGTGTCCGCAGTCTCTGGTCATCTCCTGTACTATGTCCGCAGTCTCTAGTCATCCCCTGTACTGTGTCCGCAGTCTCTGGTCATCTCCTGTACCATGTGCGCAGTCTCTGGTTATCTCCTGTACTGTGTCCGCAGTCTCTGGTCATCTCCTGTACCATGTCCGCAGTCTCTGGTCATCTCCTGTACCATGTCCGCAGTCTCTGGTCATCTCCTGTACTATGTCCGCAGTCTCTGGTCATCTCCTGTACCGTGTCCGCAGTCTCTGGTCATCTCCTGTACCGTGTCCGCAGTCTCTGGTCATCCCCTGTACTGTGTCCGCAGTCTCTGGTCATCTCCTGTACCGTGTCCGCAGTCTCTGGTCATCCCCTGTACTGTGTCTGCAGTCTCTGGTCATCTCCTGTACTGTGTCCGCAGTCTCTGGTCATCTCCTGTACTGTGTCCGCAGTCTCTGGTCATCTCCTGTACTATGTCTGCAGTCTCTGGTCATCTCCTGTACTATGTCTGCAGTCTCTGGTCATCTCCTGTACTATGTCCGCAGTCTCTGGTCATCTCCTGTACTATGCCCGCAGTCTCTGGTCATCTCCTGTACTATGCCCGCAGTCTCTGGTCATCTCCTGTACTGTGTCCGCAGTCTCTGGTCATCTCCTGTACTGTGTCCGCAGTCTCTCTGGTCATCTCCTGTACTGTGTCCGCAGTCTCTGGTCATCTCCTGTACTATGTTCGCAGTCTCTGGTCATCTCCTGTACTATGCCCGCAGTCTCTGGTCATCTCCTGTACTGTGTCCGCAGTCTCTGGTCATCTCCTGTACTGTGTCCGCAGTCTCTGGTCATCTCCTGTACTGTGTCCGCAGTCTCTGGTCATCCCTTGTACTGTGTCCGCAGTCTCTGGTCACCTCCTGTACTGTGTCTGCAGTCCATTGGTTCAGAATATTTTTTTTCTTGTTTTTCACCTCTAAAACCAAGTTGCGTCTTATGATCAGGTGTGTCTTATGGAGCGCGAAATACGGTAATTAATTTTCAGCAGTGCTTCCCTTTTCTCATGCAGATCTCCCAAACTCAACAAGGCCAGCATCCTTTTTCTTTTTTTTATTTGAGACGTAATGTGATGTGATTGCAACATCCCTCATTGCAGACACTGTAAATGGAAAATAACTAGGTATGTAGCTGATTTGACTCAGCAGAGAGTTTTATTATGATTGTAGGCACTGTTTACCCAATACATGGATGCTCTGTCACAGCTGGTACATCTCCAGAGTACAGAACCCATTAATCACTGGTGATTGAGCTGTGCTGCCACGCCGCCTGCCAATCTTCAATCATATCTCTCTGGCTGTCCATCCCAACTGGCAGAAGCATTTTATATGTATCAAAGATGCCTCAAAGAAGACGATTTCTGAGCTGTACTGGATTTTACAGTAAAAACCATAATTCGGTGAAAGCAGTATTAAACCCCCAAACAAAAATGTACTATATTGCAGCTCACCAATTCTTAGATGTGGTGGCTGCCTTATTTTTCTTTTTAGGCCTTTTTCCTTTAATTTCACCTACGGAGCACTTCACAAAAGTGCAGCATGTCTGCGTGTTTACATATTTACGTAGCATCCCATGGCATTGCACGCCACAATGCACTGCAGTGCAAAGATTTGATTTGAAGTGAATTTTGTGACACTTCAATAAAGTTCATAAAAAAGAAAAAAGGTAAACAATGCAATGGTTTGTTACAACGCATAGCACTGCCCCTGCACAACATGCATCAGCAAGCACATCTTTTAGCACACAGGCTGGTGTGCACAAGCCCTTATTAAAGATTAATCTTTTTTAAATAACAAACATACATAATGGTTTTGCACAGAGCAGTCCTGATTCGTTTCTTCTCGGGTCCCCTTCTGGTGCTCCTGGCTCCTCCTCCTTGACCAGCTCCCCCAATAGCATGATGCTTGCTATGGGGGCACTGGTGCATGCTCGCTCCTGGGCCCCGCTCATTGTGTCCATAAGAGTCCTGATTCGCTTCTTCTTGGGTCCCCTGCCAGTGTTCCTGACTCCACCCCTTGACCAGTTCCTCCAATAGCAAGACGCTTGCTATGGGAGCACTGGTGTGTGCTCGCCCCTGACCCCCTCTCATTGTGTCCATAAGAGCCCTTATTCGCTTCTTCTTGGGTCCCCTGCCGGTGCTCCTGGCTCCTCCTCCTTGACCAGCTCCCCCAATAGCAAGATGCTTGCTATGGGGACACTGGTTCATGCTTGCTCCTAAACCCCGCACATTGTGTCCATAAGAGCCCTGATTCACTTCTTCTCGGGCCTCCTGCTGGTACTCCTGGCTCCTCCACCTTGACCAGTTCCCCCAATTGTAAAGTGCTTGCTATGGGGCACTGGTGCATGCTCACTCCTGAGTCCTGCTCATTGTGTCCATAAAAACCCTGATTCGCTTCTTCTTAGGTTCCCTGCCTGTGCTCCTGGCTCCTCCTGCTTGACCAGTTCCTCCAATAGCAAGACACTTGCTATGGGAGCACTGGTGCATGCTCGCCCCTGACCCCCACTCATTGTGTCCATAAGAGCCCTAATTCGCTTCTTCTTGGGTCCCCTGCCAGGTGCTCCTGGCTCCTCCTCCTTCTTGACCAGCTCCCCCAATAGCAAGATGCTTGCTATGGAGGCACCAGTGCATTCTTGCTCCTGAGCCCCGCACATTATGTCCACAAAAGCACTGATTCACTTTTTCTCGGGTCCCCTGCTGGTCCTCCTGGCTCCTCCACCTTGACTAGTTCCCCCAATTGCAAAGCGCTTGCTATGGGGCACTGGTGCGTACTCAGTCCTGAGCCCCACTCATTGTGTCCATAAGTGCCCTGATTCGCTTCTTCTCAGTTCCCCTGCTGTTGCTCCTGGCTCCTCCTTCTTGACCAGCTCAACCAATAGCAAGACTCTTGCTATGGGGGCACTGGTGCGTGCTTGCTCCTGAGCCCCACTCATTGTGTCCATAAGAGCCCTGATTTGCTTCTTCTTAGGTCCCCTGCCTGTGCTCCTGGCTCCTCCTCCTTGACCAGGTCTCCCAATAGCAAGACGCTTGCTATGGGGGCACTGTTGCATATTTGCTCCTGAGCCCCATTCATTGTGTCCATAAGTCACCTAGAGCAAAGGCTTGGCCCTATCCCCTGTTCTCTCCCACTACTGTGTCTCAGCCAATGAGGAAAGCGAGAGAGACCCGAGACACATCACTATGCATATCACTGGGTCGAGAGGGGTCTCAGGTGTGTATTGGGGGGGGGGGGGGGGGGGCTGTGGGGGATCAGCACACCAAAGGTTTTTTTACCTTCATGCATAGAATGCATAGTGACAAAAATCCTTCAGCCTTTACAACCTCTTTAAAATGATATAATCCATGCACCTGGTCGTACCACCAGTCACTGAAGGGTAGGTTCTTATTGATTTTTTAAAAACGTTTTTTTAAAAACTGTAATAATGGGAGAATGGTCAAAATAAATAAAGAGGAGCTAACTGTACATTAGGTCTGCTTGAAGTGCGCAATAGCTTTAATCGTTACTATTGCATATGAGCTTTATAAATACCCCCAAATGATTTTGTTATCCCTACAAAACAGTCAGTGTGCAGTCCACACTTGTTTTTTTTTATGTTATCTGCTGCTTCTCTGTTAACAGGAAATAGGAACTTTATTCAGAGAAAAGACGTAGAATTTGACCATAGATGCAGCTGCAAACTTATAAACACTACCATCTACTGGTTGAAGAATATATCTCTACTGAATACCGATGCTCATGTTTTTGTTGTACAATATTGCATGAACATTGTATTCCAACACCCCCCACTCAACAACTACTTCTTATATTAGTCCCATTTCGAATCTCAGTTTTATAAATCTTTTTCTTTTAAGCCATTTTGTCAAAGCATCTGCAATCATGTTTACCATGATCTCTGAAATCAGCAGTTCTGATCCACTCTTGTTTCTCATGGGATGGAGGTATCTGCATTTCATCTCATGAATCTGGCTCTCTGGTTTTAATGCTACACGAGTAACATAGGACAGACATTTGGCTGGGATGCCTTTATTGCTTCTGGTGGATTTCCTGGTGGAAGCCTCATGTGGCCTGGTTTCCTCTTTTACAATGTTTGGATTGTCTGCGTTCATTTCTAATTCTGTGTCACTTTGTTGTTTATCTTCATGTGACACTGATGTGGAATTTCCCTCAGTTTGAAGTGTTTGTGTTCATGAAAGTTTGAACGCACTGAGGTTTCATCGACAAGTACACTTCTACTGATGGTTATCTTAGTGTCTTGGTGTAGAATTTTGTATCCCTTTTAAGATTCACTGTACCCCACCAGTACTCCTTTGTTCAAGCATCCCATTTTGTACGTTTTTCTTTTGGTATGTGCACATAGGCTTTGTTTCCCAAAATTTTTAGACGGATGAAATGTGAGGCCTTTCCATTCCACAGTTCATATGGCATTTTCTCAGTTGGTTTTCCTGGTAGTCGATATTGGAGATAGCATGTGGTCATAATTGTCTCCCCCTGGTATGCGACTGGCATAACTGCATCACAAAGCATGGTTCTTCCACTCTCACAAAGAGTACGGTTCATTATTTCTGCAACCCCATTTTATTTTGGGTTGTATGGTACAGTTGTTTGAAATATTATGCCTTGCTGTCTGAGAATCGCCTGTGTGTTATCACCTGTATATTCAGTTCCATTGTTTGTGCACAATACACTTGCCATTTTGCCAAATTTTCTGCTTACCTAAGCCACTGGTCCAGTTTCTCTGGTACTTCACTTCTGATCATCTATAAAAGTGAGAAAATACCTCTTTTTCCCTAGAGTTAATTTTTCCATTGGACCCCAAAGGTCTGAATGAATTCCTGTTACTCTGCTTTGGGAAGGCTTGTCTTGTCATTTTTCATATCACTAGTAGCTCCTGAATTAACACACCATGCTTGAAAAGATGAGATGCAACTTTTAGATTAAAAAACATATTCATTATCTTAAGAAAAATCTGTTTCTTCCTTCACACTTTGGGTCTTTTGTAGTTTAGTTTGTTTTTGCATCCTAGCTTCCCAGATTCTGCAGTCTGATTTTAAGTGACCTTGTTTCTTGCACACAAAGCTTTCACATAGTTCTTGTTACATGTTACTGTTCTTGTTCCTATTTAACGTCTTTAAAGCAAACTCTACGATAGAAGCA